CTCTCTCTCTCCTTTTTCCAGCAAATCCGACTCTCCCTAAACTGTATCACCATAATTTGCTAAAAAAAAAAAAACTCTCACCATAAAAGTTTATATTGATACTATCTTACTCTCTAGAGAGGCCAAGCATTGTGTTGTTGCCATTGATGTAAAAACATCATGTCAGGATCGTCCTTTCTTCAATGTAAAGTAGGGCTTTTATAGAGAGGCTTTTGTTAAACAAAATCTTAATTTATCTCAAATTAGTGGTTCACTCCGAAATCACCTTTTGTGAAATCAAGGTAATATTAGAGATTATGGTTTTTCCTTAAAGTTAGAGTTTGCTTTGAATTAAGTTTTTGTTAGGTTTCTCCTATGAAATAATGGTTTTTTATGAAATTAAGTTTTTATCGAGTTAGACATTAGGATTTTACAGAACGAACCTTTAAACATTTATAAATTTTTCTGGGATTTTTTTTGCGATTCTAAAACTTGCAATATTTTGTCCTAAGAAAATATCCGTTTAGTTTTTTCTTTGAAATTACGGTTTTCTAGGTTTTTACAAAGTTAGAAACTAGGATCTTAAAAAAAAAAAGTAAAAAAAAAAGCGTCCACACATTTACAGTATTTTGTCTTATTTTAAAAAAATTTCCACACATTTGGTGAGAATAAACCTAATTTAGGGTATTTTAGGTTTTCTCTCTGAAATTAGGGTAACTCAAATGTACACTAATGGCATGAACGTCGATTTTGGGGGGGCTTTAGAAAAACTGAAATGGTTTTTGAGGTTTCCCAACAGGTGTGTGAATGGAGTGTGGAAAGAAGCACACTGAAGTGGGTGCTAAGAGTTGTGGCAACACAATAAAACATGCAAGAGATATCTTATTCAACTAAAATATAACAAGTCAAAATTTCTACTAAAAATAAAAATATAACAGTAAGCACAAAACAAGCAATTATAATAGAAAATGAAAACAAGAATTTTCTACCTAATTTTTTATATTTTTTATTTTTTAATGAAATCCAAATATATAAAGAAATTATACAACAAAATAAAGAGGAAAGTGAGGATTTTTTTTTTTTACATTTTTTTAATATTTCAAAAAAATAAAAAGCAAAAATAGAAAAGGAGCTGCCAATTGGATACTACATGGCCCACTGGAGAATTTAGGGTTTCCTACTAACAACGACGTGCATTGCAAGAGCAACTTGCCCCAAAGAGGTGAACTGCGCTTTGCGCTGCTGCCTCTAGGCAGAGCGCAAAGCTTGAACATTTCCAGTGGACTTTGAGGTCTTGACTTGCTTTCGTAAGCCACTCTTAAGTAGGTTTCAGAATTGTGCCAGAAAGCTAGTTGTAGGCTTAGGCCTCACAAAGACCTAGAATCAAGGGTTTGGGACATGCCAAACACAGATGCTTTTCGATTGCCCTTGAAATAAGATTGCTGGTGACCGGCGAAACAAGTATACAAATCAACCAAACGAAAACAAAAGATCGAGATCAGACACATGTAGGTCTCTGAACCTTGGATTAGAGAACTCTCGAGGTTGGAAGACTACGATGACGACTATTTCATCATAGGAAGCAATTACTCCAATGCCATGCTAATCTGTTTACAGAAATTTGAGCTTAGCGGGCCATATGGTGGTTCCAAACTATCCACACATGAAATCTAAGATGAAGTAGACTACTTACAGTCCAACCCAACCCGCTTTGCATGAAAACTTGTTACTTAATACTTTGTAGAGACGGTTATTGTCAAATTTTGATATATGAGAAATCGATCATGAAAGAGCCGCTCTCTCATAGATTGTCGACCAAAGATTGGCTCAGATTTGTGTACAACTCAAAGAAGATATCAAAAGAGTAGGGACAATAAGAGAGCAAGTTTTGAAAAAGGTTTTTGAAATAGTGAAAGGTAGGGAAAATAAGAGAGCAAGTTTTGAATGAGATTTTGAAATAGAGAAGACAAATAACAAGAACTAAAAACAAATGCAACAAAGAAATGTAATTGGAGGCGGGGCACTCAGGCCTAGCACCCAAAGTTGCGGCTTGGATTAGACTGATGGGGCAAGTCTTTATCCCTTTCTCATTCAAGAATTCTAATCTATAAAATTTTTTCGAAGTCCGAGGAGAGATTTGTACCTAAGAATGTTCCTCTAGGGATTACAGGCTAGTAGGGATCTTTTTATCAAATTTGTAGTAGATTTTGGGTTTAACTGGATCTAGGGTTCTTTGAAATTTCTAAGTTGTAGTGGGTTTAAAGCTTATTGTGGATTTCTAGGGTTTTCTCAAGATTTTTTGGATTGGGCTGGAGACTAGGGATGGATTGGGCTTTACGCTCTCTTGATCTTTTGAGGCCCTAAATGGCTTCTTCCTGTTCAAAAGAGCCCGAATTAGGCCTTTTATAGACATTTCTACGTGTCTAAATACGTCATTGGAATCAACCCATGTTTTTATCCCGTAAAACTAAAGATGACAGGTCAAAAAGGGCAATGCAACACATTTTGCGATGTCTCGAGGGCCATGCGATACATTCACAGATAATTCTTGGTGGACAGAAATCATTTTTTCTTAATAACTTTCAAACGACATGTTGGATTTGAGAGATTCTTAAATTGTTAGAAAGTTTGTGATCTCCTCAACAATTTGGAATCAAATTTGATCCAATTTGAGTAAGTTTTGACAGGTCACTAGGACTATAGGATGTCGGTTTTTATGTTTCTAGGTGTTAAACTAAAATTTGAGTTAATTTCTATATTTATTATGAGGGAGAATTTCTTACAGACCTAATTCCCATCGTATAAAAACGGTTGACCCTCCTTCTATTTTTCTTTCAAGAGGCATAAAAAAAACCCTCAGGTATTTCACCGTACCCCATCATCTTTTTTTCTCTCATGTTTATTCACTTTTGGCCACAAAAACTAGTTCAAACAAATTCTTTTATTCTATCTCAATCCAAAAGCTTTTTAAAAAATACAAAATAGGGTTAAAAAGGCTTTCGAATTGAGATGAAATAAAATAATTTGTTAGGGTTAGTTTTTGTGGCCAAAATTTAATAAATGTGGGAGATAAGGGATGAGGGGGTATGGTGAAATACACAAAAGTGTTTTTATGCCGCTTGAAAGAAAAAAAGAAAGAAGGTCTAATGTGAAATAAGATGGTGAATTAGGGGTACGATATTTTCCCTTATTATGATCAAGGGTCTAGGATGATTAGTTTGGACTATTGCGTAGGTTTTCTCGGAGTTTTTAGGGATTTTATGTACAATTAGATTATGAATTGTTGGTCCAATGGAGTGGTGCACTGGCTTGCTTGCTTCTTGTTTTTTTTTTCTCGCTGCGTGTCTTTTTGTTCTTGTCCGCCTGTTCGTCTTTTTCCCACTCTGTGATTGGGCACTTCCACTGGTGTGACACTTTCCCATTGGGACCAAACCTATAGAAATTTTTAAATTTACACGAAGGTTTATTTTTTATTTTCTTATTATTTTCAAAATTGCCCTTAGTTCGACCTTCAACTATCGAATTACAATTATTTCACGTTTTCTTTCTTTTGCTTGCTCCCTTTGAAGGGTCGAACTAAATTTTAGCTTCTTTTCTTGGACAAATTTAAGCGCAGATCCCTTCAAATTCCTGTTATTTAAAGTATCCCTTCCAAATTTCAATTTTTTATGTTCACGCCCATTTTTTATTTTTATTTTTTAATTAAATTGCTCTTACTTTAGACCTTAAATGTTTCAAATTTAGCTCTCAAAACCAAACTTTTCTGAAGTTCCTAAATTAACTCTATCCCAATGTCCAAAGCAGGGCAATTTTTTTATTTTCTCTTTTTTTTTCTGCTAATTTTTTGGGAAATTAAACTTTGGGCCTTCAATGTTCAAAGTAGGATAATTTGGTAAGAATTTTTAAAAAAGAGGGTATTTTTTAAAGGAAAAGTTTATATAGAGAGGATCTAAACTATCAAATTGGAGCCTACCACAAAAATAGAAGAGGTTGTTTTTTTATGCTCAAATATCCTCAAATTGATCATCTCGACATCAAGATGTATGGACAATAGAAAAAATGGATTTCAATTTTTGGAAAGCTTGTATTTTATAATGCATTTTTGGACCGTCAATTTTCAAGATTTTTCGTGTTTTCATAGATCTATCGATCTACCCTTTTTTGAAGCTTTGAACTTTATAAATAAAGATGAAAATATATTTTACGACGATAATAAAGATTTCCAGTATTGAAACTACATTTCTCAATATTATTTGAAAGTAGGCTCTAATTTGATTGTTTAGAGCCTAGGTTCTATACAAACCTCACCTACTTTTTAATATGAAGAATTCTATACATGCGCGTGAATTTCCTCTTTTTTCTTAAGAAGTAGTTCAACACCTTAATGCCAGAACTACATTTCTTCACTTTCACATATAGTTTGAAGTTAACCCTTCAAGGGCCAAGCTAACTAGCGTCGGTCAAACCAGGAGAAACCAAAAACTAGTTTGATCCTTCAATGGTCGAATTTGCTTCTGACAGGGTAGTTCGACCAAGGAACGAACTAGAAGCTTAGTTCAACTACATGTGGTCAAACTAGAAGTGGGTTCAATGCTTGCGGCTTGACCGATGTTAGTTTGATCCTTGAAGGTTCGTTTAGCATAGTTCGACTTATAAGGGTTAAATTTGGCCCTTTAATTGAAGCAATTAAAATAAAAAAAAATACAATTCGATCCTTAAAGGAAAAAAGAGAGGAGAATATATAGTTTGAGCCTTCAACTTCATCCACTTTTGAATTGTGAAATCCTAAATGTCTAAAAAATCAATCTTGTGCTCTAAGAAATACAAGTACATTATACTGCCACAGGAGTACCATTCTAAGCACCCTGATCGTTTGGGCTTTCTATTCGTTTTCCTTTCTCAAATTTATTTTTGTTTGAGATACCACCACCTTTCAAATTGTTTTGGTATATCACCATCTTTTCTAATTCTATGAATGATAAGGAGAGCGAGAGAGTTTTGAAAGAAGTTACGTAGAGAGTGTGAGGAATACAAACCTTAGAGACAATATGTCACTTGGTTTTGCGTCTCCAACGGTTATCGTCACGTTCGAAATAGTTTCAGCATTACCCCTTGTCGACCGTTGGATGAAACAAATCCAACGGCCAAAATAGATGACCGTTTAACGAGATCTTTATCTCATTTGGAACCCAAAAAGTCTGCGGGCTCAGAGGGAGAGTGAGAGAGAGAGAGAGGAGAGCCTCTCTTCTCACTGTGGTGAGCTTCCAATTTTGGATCCCACTTGAGAGTCTTAGAGTTGTTGTTTTTGTGCAAAATCGGGAAGAGGAGATGGCAGCAGCCACAATTGATTTTCCCAAACCAGAGGTAATAAACAATTTTAGGGTTTATTTTATTTTATGATGAATGCTTCTCTGAAATTTTAGTTGCTTGGTTATCGGATTTACTTTGTTTCTTTTATTTTATTTTATTTTTTTATTTCTTATGGTTTTAAGATGATACGAAATTATTGTCTTGCTATGCAGTGTTATAGGGGATTGCCAAAGTAATTTATTAGTACATGAGTACTCTGGTAAGCAGGTTTCTTCGATAATACCATTATTTGGCGATCAACTATCTTTCATATGTTTTCCTGTTAACTCTGTGGGTTTTTGTTGTGTTTGAGCGATAGAGAATGCATTTGAGTGAATGAGAATGAATGTCTAGTTCTTGTCTAGTGAGTTGGGTGGTTTAGTTTGCATATGGGAACCAAATGGTTGAAATGTTTTATATGGGATTTAAGAGGATTATTTATGTTGGCAGGACCTAATTTGTGAGGTTTTAGATATTTATGTTGGCAAGACCTAATTTGTGAGGTTTTTCTGAATGTTTAAAGGCTTACTGAACTGTCAGGAAAGATGGGTTCCTTTTATGAAAATTTAGCTTTTCTCATATTTGCCGTTATACTTTTCTCCAAATTAGTTTCCTTGAGCTGAACAGTGAACTCAAAATGCTGCATTATAGGGAGGTAATGGATATGACTGTTTCTTCCATAGTGCTACTAAATCTTATTTCTTAGAATATACATCTAGCGGTATTACATGGACAATTTAAAGTCTGTTGACAAAATAAAATGTAGAGTACCATGAAATTTGAAAAATGCTATGAATGTTATATAGGCTTTCCACATTTTATGATTATATGTTATTGCAACATGTTATGTTTGCATCTATTTAACATTTTAACTGTCTAGCTATAAGTCATATTTTTTAAAATAATTGAAGTTTTAAAATTTGTGTACTGTCTATTTGTCAAAAAAGGGTATCATTTTGAGCTTTCTTCTATTACAAATTTGCTTTTCACCATGCATATAATCCTTCTCTCCATTGGCAAAACAATATAAGCGAAAAGCCATTGGAAATCCACATTGGAGAATCCATGTCCCTTGAAAAGCATGGCCCCGCAAGTGTAATCTCTGTGCATAAGACATGATCAAGCATAAAAATTAAAAAAATCCCCAGTAAATCGTATGGCCTAATAATCATGCGTATCTCTCTTCATCTCCTTCTCAACCTCATAAATTACACTAAGGATGGGGCAAGTTTCCTATCACACAAATTTTTGCAAACTCACATTGTATTTTTTTTTCTTTTCAATCTTGTTAGTTAATTGTTTATGTGCCCATATGCAATTGTACAAAATTTCACACAGTAGTACAAATTTTGCTTATCAAAACAATAACGATCCATTTTCTGTCACAACTCTATCAATAGATCATGTCTTCCATGATGAAAGTTATATTAGTGAAGTAGACCATGACATTCTCAGGGACTAAGGAAAGATCAAAAGTTTTCTCCAAGAATTATGACAAAAATGGTACTTAAAGAGTAATAAGACAACGGTCTGCAGCCCATTTGAAGAAGGTGAAAATAAGATTTGAATTCCAATGGTTAGGAACCAGATAATTTATGAAAATGTAGTGATTTGGAAGGTTGTGAGGATGTACAGTAAAGTTTCTCTGTTCGAGTTATCTAGTATAATGTTTTTGATGTAAATTAGAGAGGACCAGACTAGGCATTTTACTTCCAAAGAAAATACAAAGGGAAAGGTTGAGAAGTGGGTTTCTATTTTTTTCTTTTAAAGATTACAACAGACATAAACCCATCATTTAAGAGCGACATAAATAAATGAATGGAATTGATTTTCTGGAGGTTACATACAAAAAGTGGAATGGTACTGATGAGAACCATTTTCTTACAGATATTGGGAGTAATCATTGAATCATTTCCTCCTAACTTCAATCTACGATTGAGTTAGGAACTTCAATTTTCTATCCTGTTATCCTTATTTGTTCTTGTAGTCTATGTCAAGTTGTTGGCGATATTAGTTTTTCTAATGCTGAAAATAATCTCATGTGGGAATACTTGACTCGGTTGGAGGAAGCGAAGAAGAAATATGAACACATAGATTACTTGGACAAAATCAAGAGCTTTGCTTTTTCCATCCTCTCAGATAATCTCTTTGAAGTTACAGTTGCTCTTGTTCCATCCTTGTAAGGGTTGAATGTTTGTTCCAATTTTCTTTTGCTTCAAGCTAACTTTTGGTGGATGGCTGATATGCAAAATGGACTTTTACATTATTATCAGGTTGTCAAGGTTTGCTTGTGTCAGTTGTCTTCGTTTGTCATTCTCTTATAGTAAGTTGTTGGCCATGAAATATGCTTTTTTGCATTTGAGTCTTGGAAGTTGTTTCTTCTTGCCACATGGTACTAGAATATATAACAAATTGATGGAATTCATAATAAATTTATATATATATATATATATATATATATAGAGAGAGAGAGAGAGAGAGAGAGAGAGAGAGAGAGAGAGTAGTATATAGTAGTAGTTACTACTAACGTAAGTAACGTAAACTTAACTAGTACGTACGTTTACGTTTACGTTTAGTTACTACCAACAACTAACTAACTAACTAAC